TGTTCTAGCTGGTGATAGAGAAGCTAGTTAACTGAGTATCATTACTTGAACGGCTCTTGAACCTTAGATATTGCTGTTTTGGTTTTAGTTGGAATTGCTTGAATATTTATTCTTGGTGTTGTTTTGTGGCTTTTGTTTCTAATCAAATAGTTGTTGGTTTTCTTTGGATTTGCAGACTTATCTCGGGATTCAAATATTTAGATTTTACTTCAAGTGCACCAAGTGCTCTGCAGAGCTGACAATGAAGACGGATCCACAAAATTCTGATTATATTGTCGAATCTGGGGCAAGTCGTAATTATGAACCTTGGCGTGCAGAGGACGAGGTAAGGACTTCGGACACGTAGCTTTTGAGGCTTTTTTCTTTCTTCGTGCATACAACTTTCTAGTTTACTAATGTAATATATTTTCTCTTCTGTACAGGAGGTTGATAAGGATAAACAGAAAAGAGATGCCGAGGAGATGGGGGACGCGATGAAGTCCTTGGAGAACAGAACTTTGGATTCTAAAAGAGAGATGGACATTATAGCTGCACTTGATGAAATGAAATCAATGAAGGTATGGGACAAATAGCCTTTTTGTATCTTCTCCTCTGTCTCTTGTTCTCAATGTTTAATTCTGAGATTTTATTCTTTTTCATGCTTCAGTTGCATGCTGGAATGCGTGTTTGTGTACTGATTCTCTTTTATTTTGCGTTTTGCAGTCTAGACACGCTCATGTGACCGTTGATGCAATGCTGGAAGCCTTGCAAAGAACAGGTGCTGAGAAGGTATGCTTCTGGTTCTCTGTTTGCTTGTCCATATATATAGCGATTTGATATTGTCTGCACGGCATGCTGTTTTGTCCTTATAGAAGAAACAGAAATTACAGTTTCCGTCGTTCTTGATATGTTCATTCGTTGATAATCCAGCCAGCTTGTTGCTCTTTGCACACCTTCTAATCTATCTAAGCATACCTCTCCCTTTCTCTCTGTTTGATGAAAGGCGTCAGGACCATTGTTATGTTCTAATTTGATGGTGCATTAGAATTAGGTGTTCTATCTAAAGATACTAATATCGCTGACTGAGGTGGTAATGGTTATTTTTCTTTGACAGGCAAAACGAATAGAAGAAGAAGATGAAGCTGTTATAAAGTCGATATTTGGTGTAAGTGTTCATATCATTCTTGTGTATATGTTGCTTCTCCAAATGACATTTAGCTTTGCTAATCTTCTTTCATATTTCCTGTTTCATCTAAATGCAGAAAGAGAAAGAAGTTGTTAGGAGAATTGCA